AGAGGTTTGTTATGTCAAGAGGGGCAAACAGTGAGAGAGTGGAATATGGGCAATTAATAAAGAGTTAAATTGGGCGGATTGTTTTTTACCTCGTACCGATAAATGTGTAAAGAGACACGCTACCATTTACCGAATCCCAAAAAAAGATGGAACACATATTTGTGTTTAAATTGCGTGAACGCAAGACATGATCAGAATTTAGAAGCATAAGCAGAAGCAGAAGCAGGCGCAGATGTAAATAAAAGCCCAACCTCTTCACAATCCGGATCATGTACACAAGCCCACTTTTGAAGGGAATTTAAAAGCCCAACTAGACTTTTTCCTAAACGTACCGTTAATACATAAACACAAGTTAAGGCGCCTCTCCATCCGATTCGAATCAAATCCTGTCTTCTTCATCTTCTTCCTCAATTAGGTCGAAGACTGTGTTGCTTATTTCATCTTCAATTTGTGTAAATTCCGGTCGGAAATATAATGGCGAAGAACAAAAAGTCGATTGTGGATACAAGGAAACGATGATTAGGTGGAGATTTTTGATTCCGGACGGAAATAAAATTGCGAAGAACAAAACGTCGATTGTGGATACAAGGATTTGTTGTTCAAAATGATGATTATGTGGGGATTTTAGATTGAAAAGGGATGTTCTCTTCGAACGTGGATACATCGCTTTGGGGTTCAAAACATGATGATGTTGGGGATTTGATATTGGATTGGGAGCTAAATCGAATGTCGATCAAATGATAAAAAGGATTTCAGATTTCAGATTTCAGAAACGATGATAAAAGGATTATGTTCGAACTTCGAACTAAGAGGGGCCATCCCCTCCAAGACGAATGAGGGACTAGAAATTGGTTAGGGCGGCGGGTCGTATACATAGGGTTTAACCTCTTAATCGATATAATTAAACCGGGTACAGTTAGGTTGAAGTCCAATGAAAAACGCTTAAACGCTTCGTGATGCTTTTGGTAATTTTCCTTGCCCCTGGTTACCCGTACCCCGGATTTTGCCCTGGGCACCCTAGAACTGGCTATATATATATATATATATAGTTACGTCTACGGTGCACTCACTTTTTTGGGTGCATTCAATGCACTCATTTCATAATTGACATTTTGAGCAGGCGATTCATGTCTAAACAATGTTAATCATCACGTATGATACGATGAACAAGAAACCCCATGAATTGGCACAAAAATTATTCCAAATTTACATTAATTTGATGGAATTATGTTTTATGGATTTAGGGTTAGGGTTAGGGTTCATGATTTGGGGTTTAGGACAAAAGTTCAAAATTGAAGGTTTAAACCTTAGGGTAATGCATTGATTAGTTGTGATCTTATGCTATATCATCATATTACACTAATCTTGCCAATCAAACTAAAAAATTGATGTCTTAAGGCTACTTTTACAGTTGAGTGCATTGAATGCACTCATTTTTGTGAGTGCGCCGAAGTAGCCACCATATATATATATATATATATATATATATATATATATGGCTTCTACGGTACCCTGGGTGAAATCCGGGGTACCGCATACTTTGAGTATGGAAACGCTATCTAGACCTCGAATTAGCAGGATTTTTGGTCTGATACTATACCCTAACCCTTAATGTGTGAACTCTAGGTCCTAATTATCTAAATCATAATCTATAAATCCTAAGATGGCGCATTCCTTTTTGTGCCTATATGTGGATGAATCATAACCGTAGGTTATTGTTTCTAATTAAATTGATCTTGGAGTATAAGATTGGGAGAATTAAGACCTAGATTTTGATCTTTAAGGGTTAGAGTATAGTATCATGTCCGAAAGATCGGTCAATTCAAGGTCTAGATAGTGTTTTCATACTCAAGGTATGCGGTACCCCGAATTTTATCCAGGGTACAGTAGAACTCACCATATATATATATATATATATATATATATATATATATATATATATATATATATTCACAATCAATACCTTCTACATCGTGAAAGTAAACTATGATTTTCAGAAGTATTGGTGCGGCATAAATTTGGACAAAGTCCTTTGAAATCTAAGACTAGAGTCTCATGAAAACAGCGGTTTAGCTAGCAACTATGCATGCATCATGTCGACAACAACCATAAGTGGACAGTATTTTACGAGGCCTTCAACTTCAACCAAATCGTCTGGAGTTCACTCTTTGAACATCTGCTGATGCTGATTGTTGATTTGAACTAATCGAACGAACCTCTTAGGTCATTAATTATGCAGAAAAATGCCTCAAAGGCAAAATCCGATTTAGCATGGTGATTACTGAGTATTTTGTGTTGTCTTCCAACGGCTACATACGAATATATACATATTTTTTAATAAGGGTGGTATACTTTTATTATTTTGTGGTTTAGGATACTATTTAAAGGATTCGAACCTAGAATCTTCGGGTTGTAAATCAGTTGTATTATCACTAAACCAAGTCCTTTTTCATATGAATATATACATCTTCAGCCTTAGGTTTAGTGTCAGCGATCAAAGTCTATTCATGGGCTACATCCACCTAATGAGAACGGCTAATGTGAATGGGCTAATTGCGTTGTTATCATCTCACCGTTATCATACCTTGATCCAATCACTACTGACGATTACATCATACCGTTGTCATATCATGTATTTTGTTCCAAAAATATTAAAATAGATATCATATTATAGAGCCTTAAAACTTTGAATTTTCTACAAATTTTTTTAAATAGGATGTAAAACGCCAAGAAATTCAGTCTAAACGCTCTACTTTTCCTCCTTATCTCTCTACTAACCTCACCGTCCGTATCAAGTTTTGTAGGTCTACAAATATGGAGTATATTGGAACCTGGCATATGCCAAAAATACGAAAAAAAACACTATACTATTTTTATAAAAATAGCTCAACACTTTTTTTATATGGTTAAGAACAGACAAACAGCTCCCACGAACCTGCATGCATGGGAGAAAATCATACTTTTCTTCCTAAAGGTTGGGACACCTGCTGCACTACATGGAGGAATTTGCTATAAAGAACACAGGATGAAAACTACACTAAACTAGAACCAACGGAGTTGTTGAGAGAGGTTCAATCATAGATCATATACCACACATGTACAATAGCACGCCCCCTCAAACAAAAGCTACTCACAAGGGCTTGAAGTTTGCACAGGTCTGAAGACAAGAATACCATGTGCTTAAAAAATGCGCATCATGGGGATTCGAACACAAAACCTCTCGATCACATAAGGCTCTAATATCATGTCAAGAATCAGTTGATCCCAAATAACTCAAGTTGTTGTGAAAGGTTCAATCGTGTATCATATACCCACTAACAATTACAACACAATTAACTAGATGGCTAGCTCCTCATTCCTCGCTCACATGGATGAACCTTATTTTCTAAGGCCCCACGCGGTTTGAAAAACAAATAAACAAGAATGATAGCATAGAAGTCTAGCTGCGACTTGCTCAATTTTTTACGAAAGGAGATCGAGTACTGAGTAACAAACGCCCGCAAGCAAATTGCAAAGCTCTACCTAAAGTCTACTAGAAGAGAGGATGATCACCACATAAAATAAATCAGGCGCCGTTTCGGCTAGCGGAGAATAATGGTTCTCGCTAGATTCAACTTATCTGTAGGCTAACTGCATGCATAAATATTTTAGGGTGTGTTTGATATTGGTATTTGAATTTGTGTCAAATCTATGGGGTGATTTCCAAATACATGTCTATCATATTACTTGTCAACTTCAAATACATTTGATGTAAATCTTAACAAAAAAATTCGACCTGTTTGTAAAATATTAAAAGTTTAGGTACTATAATGTGAGGCAAAAAATATAAAGGTACCAAAACGTAATTTTACCAACAAAATTTCTAGAGCTTTTTGTAAATTTTTTTAAGTTTAGATACTAAATTGTAAGGAAAAATAATTTTAAGTACCAAACTATAGTTTACCATAATTTGTAGTAAGTGACCAAAAAATACTAAATTCAAATAAAAAATCATGAAATTTAAATACAAACAAAATACAAATGAGTATCCAAACAACGAATTTGAATTATATGTATTTCAAATGCTAGTATATTTTCAAATTCATACATTTTAAAAATATGTATTTCAAATACCTTATATTTGAAATACAACTATCAAAACAACTCTTAATGAACGTACACGTGACATTGCATGCACAAAATCGTACAAAATTTTATTACAGAATATGTATGAAATATTTCATTAAGTTAAACCATCTATAGGAGATTAATGAGAGGACACTCAGGTCGGTGGGCTTTGTAGGCTTTGACCCCAATGGATCCATAAACTTTTCCTTCGGGCGGTTCTAATAATTCTGACCCTTCACTACAAAAAAAGTTGGCTATAACGACCGGAAAAACTGACGAGAGGATCAAATCCCATCGTTAGAGGCATAAAATTTGTATGGGTCATCTTTTACTGAGGGTCACATTTTCCCCCTCGTTATTGATATAACACATATATAACGACAAAACCATCCCCTCGTAAATGGTATTGAAAATTTTGCCTCCTGTGAGTCCGCCAAATTATTTTTCGTTTCCGGGGCCTTTTTTTCGTACACCCACAAAAGAATGGGTTTGAACTTTGAACCCTTTAAAAAACCCAATTGTTATTTGGTAAAGTTAAAAGGAAAGTCTGCCTTTTCATATACGAATTACGAAGTGGTTTCTCTATGCTTCTTCCTTTGATGAAAAAGCTCACCCTTTCCATTCACTCTCTCTAGAGCATTATACGCCGCTCTCTGGAGAATGACCGATTCCGACGGAACCGCCACCGCTCTACAGCCGACGATCCATAACCACCCCACAGCCGAAGCAATCGGAATACAAGATGATGGTGCCACCAGCCTCAACACCACCCAGAAGCAGCAATCTCAGCATTTGGCCCATCCACAGCGCAACCGCGACGCCGTGATTTCTCACCTAATCGAGACCTTGCCCACTCCCTCTGTCCTCTCCAAACGCTACGACACGATTTCGACCGAGGAGGCTGCGGACGTGGTTGGCTGCATCGAGGAGGAAGCTTTTGTTGCTCCAGCCACTCCATTTCGCCCGAGGATGAAGGGTTCAAAATCCTCCACAGCTTGAACTTGTTAGGAACTTTTAACTTCATGTGGTATGTGTTCTTCTTTGTTATATGCGTAACTTTGCCTTCGAGATTGAGATCTAGGGTGCATGTGGCAGATCTGAAAGTTTGAGAGTCAGGGGAAATTGCTACTTCCATTTGATTCTTCTTTGATATTTTCTTTCAGCCTGTAGAAGTGATTCTCGGCTGGCTTGTGAGAAAGATGAGATTAATCATTCAACAATATCATCCCAAAAGGTAATCTTTTGTTTCTTAGTGTTATTATCTCCATTTAAGAAATTGTGATTTTAGTTCAAGGGCATTTGAGATTTGTTTGTGATATTAGACCATTGTCCTATTTTGAATGCTAATCGATCAATAATTAGACATAATGGGGAAGGGCATATGGTGGCTCAGAGGATACGTTGTCTCCTGTTTGTTGTTGCTGTTGTGCTCTGTATGGCATCCAGTTTTGCATTTTTTTGGCTTTCATCATCAGAGGATGCAGGTTGGTGCTGTCTACTTTATGTTTTGATGTTGGTCTGTTTGTGGTGGTTGTTCAAGTTTCTTCGCTGCTTGTTGGTGGTCTGTTTATGGTGGGTGGTAAATGGACAACTAGCAGTTGCTCTGCTGCTTTTTTTGGGTCTCTTTATGGTGGTTGTTCAAGTTGGGCTTTGCTAGGTGTTTGCGTTTAGCAAAGAGTATATTATTGGTGGTGTTGCTACTGTGAATTATGGGTGAATGGTTTCTTCTTCTCAACTTCTGTAAGTTATTGAATAACATCACTCTATTCTAATTTCTCCAGCAAGGACTTGGAACGACATAGTCAAGACCAAACATGTCAAAGAAGAGTGTTTCTTGAAGCTGAAGAAAGGATATGATTGTTGTGGCCACTAAGAAAGCTAATGAGTATATCTCATTTGTATTATACTATATATAGCTTGTATATATATATATATATATATATTAAGAGTCCAGAATCCATATTACTTTTGCCTTTTATTTTACTAAAGCCTAAGCACAAACATGTTGTACTCCTTGACAATTATATACTCGTTATTGAGATCAGATTTCAAATAGTGAATATTAACAGTAGTAATTGTTATGGGTATTTTCTATGATCGTATCTTTCCTCAATGAGCAGAGGAGTTGGGATGCTTTTAGTGTCGATAACGATAGGAAATTACATACTAGGTAACATATTATTGAGGGTAATCATGTTGTTAATGCTTACAAATCTAGGTGGGGAAAATTAATATTTAACAACCGGAAAAGACTACTCTCGTTAAAGCTTTTAACGACCGGGCGGTGTTTTACCGTCGTTATTGACTTTTAACGGCCAAGCCTATAATGAGGGGTCCTATCCCGTCGTGAATGACTTTTCCCGACCGTTTTTTGACATGTAACGACCGTTTTCCCCCCTCGTTGAAGCCTCTTTTTTTTGTAGTGCTTATCTTATGATATAATGGCTATGAATTGGTGTCTGGCTCACTCTATAACTAATGTTGTTTTATGTGGTTATGCGCAGGTGATCATCAGGATTGTCAATGCCAGCGATTCGACCCACGCTACGGGAGGGGCCATTCAAATGGAGTTTCAGCTGTTGCAAACATTTCTCTAGCGTGTTTCGTTTCACTTCGCGCCTCGTAGGTAAAATAGGGCTGCCCATATCGTGGCAAACCAACCCTCTTATCGTCGGTTTAGTGACTTGTTGACCAACGTGTTTTTCTTTCTTTTAAATTTTGACCTGAAAATGTTATATATATTCGTATCTTGCTATTCCTACTAGGAATATCTTTGGGAAAAAAAGAACTCTTTTCGTCCCAGACATTTATCGTGATGTGTCATAATCCGTAGTAAGAAATTGGTCACTTTTATCAATGGTGTAGATGTTTATCCTAATAATGTAAATTTAAATTAGATTATTGGAAGTCATAACTCATACATTTCGTTCAACTAGATGAAAGCTAATGCATACGGGTTTGCCGTTTGCACAAATCCGATACAATGTGCATAATAAATATTGTCGCAAAGAGTTAAAAAAAAGACCTCTTGGTTAATCAATCTCAATAAGGTACACCATAATTTGAACTCTCCATTGACTATTATTCGGAACTTGTCTTTATTTCTTCTGAGGACCCGCCCTGTTACACTCTCTCTCCATCCTTTTAGAAATAAAATGTTTTTTCTTTATTACAAATTGGTGGAGCGCCCGCGTCGCGATGGAATGGCACTACAAAGGAAACTGCCAACAGCAGGGGTTTTTTAACTTTTGGCGACGGAAAAAACCGTCGCTAAGTAGGCCGGCAGCAGTTTTTGTAACCGCTGGGTAACCGTCGCAAAGAGGACCGCCGCAAATGTATGCCAGCGGTCAGGACAACCCCTGGTGGATGTTCTTTGCAACAGTTTTTGCTGCGATTAAACCGTCGCTATTAGAACTTCTGTCACTACCCATGCCAGCTTTCGCAGCGATAATTAAGGCTTTTTGCAACGGTTTTAAAACCCTGGCTACTGACCATTATGCTCCAAAATATTCCACAGCTCACCCAAACCACTGAAAAGTAGATTTAATGACGAATTTAGCGACGAAAACGAGTTCGTCGCTAAAACATTCAAAAGAATACCTGCTGATACCTTTCAATTTCATATATTTATATACTCTGACCTTAAAAGTCTACATTGCCTATTATCCATGCCACAAATTGCCAACTTCCCTCAAAGTACACTTTACTCATAGAAAATGAAATTGACAAAATATAAACTCAAGAAACAGCTCACAACCAAAGGAATAATGTTTCAGCAAAAATTAAGTTATTAAGATCCACAATATCAAACTTGGCTTTCTTCTGAATCGCCCAAGCCACATACATTGCAGAGCTTTCTTTTGAAACTGAGCTTTCTTTTGAAACTCATCATAGCCTGTTACAAGGCCAACCAAACAAATATCATATATGATCAGTCCCTCAATTCTAGAAAAAACATGAGCACCTGTCTAATACACAGCCTTTAGCTCAATTAGTTAACACAGAAGAGAATCTCATAAACTAATCAGTCATGGATTTCATCAAGCTAACATCTGATTGTGCAACAAAGAATGTCGGGAAGGGAAACGAGTAAGAAACAGAACACGATTCGTTGGAAATTAGAACTTACACAAGTAAAACTAATGGGTACCATTTCGAAAAAGCTTGTGCCCTGCCCATTAAAGGAAAGGCAACAATGGTTCCTGGAAAAGTGACCAAACCATGGGAAAGAAACAGGCAGTGAATCCAAATTCATGAATACTTAATAGGAATAGAAGGTGAGAAGTATGGTTATCAACAACACAACTTGCCTCTATCATGTGATCCACCAGATATCTTCTTCTCAACTTGTCAACTGGCTCTGAAGCCTCTGTAGTAATTCACATCAAGTGAATATATACAACCGTTAATACACACGGAGAGAATAATATTAAATATTGCTTAAGTATTAATCCAGGCAAGCTCGTACAACATCATAGTTTTCATTCCCATAGCTATGTAGAAGGGAACAAAGCAACTGCACAGTCTTCCTAAGCAAGTCAGAAGTCCCCTCTACCGCAGGGCTTCATTTCATAAAAGGCAAACATTGGAAATTTATTTTCTTTTCTTCTTTTCCTAAAAACTGATTCGCAACATTGCTTAGTTGGTATTTTACATAAAGCGTGAGCATCTAGATGTATAATTCACACATCAAAGCAAGCGAAACTGGATGCTAATAAAAACTTACCATCAATACCGAACAGTGATTTAGCTAGCTGAGAAGAAGTCATGGTTGCACTAGCATTTGGAAAATCTGAACTCCAACTTCCATCACTGGTTCCCCAAGATAGAACATTAGAGATGATGTATTCAGTGTGCTTTGAGTTTGTATAAACATTGTCCTTTGTTGCCCTATGGATTCGACATTCAGATCATTAACAATCAGCTTCTTGTTTAGCTTCACTTGCAATTTAGCACAAAAAGCATGTCACAATCAGGACCTTGATCGGAAATGGCTCATAAGTCATAACCCAATAGCTCAAATCATTAAAAAAGAACCCAACACCAGTGTACCTTCAAGTTCAATGCTTACAACATGCACAACACCAAAGTTATATTCCTTCCGACATGGATCAAAGTTTCAAATTAAATTTAGTAAAATATCACAATCAAATAAAGAGGAAACAGTCCCAAACCCCCCAGCCCCCCAAACATTTAATATGGATTTCAGAATCCATGTTACCGACCATTTACAACATTTAACAACACTCAGGATTTATTTGTCGAACAATATAATGGGAAAACTTAGTGTGCCAACCCTTTTCCCACTACAAAAATTGAGTAAAAAATAATAGTAAATAACATGATCATAAACTAGACTATTACGACATTCTAGGACTAATAAGTTCTGCATGAAAGGATAAGGATGTGTATTCGTTTAGATCATTGTAGTTAGTGGATAAGGTTATACCATTCTGATGCACTCTTGTGGTTGGCAGTTGCAAGCAAGGGACTAGTGGTTGTTGTTCTTCTTCTCTGCACATCTTGAAAGAAACAGAGAGGCAAAGAAAGAGCAGAAATTAACTACTTAATTCATATTGTGATACAATACAACAAATTCTGATAAGATCCTGTGCAAGTAGAAACCAGCTCATATATAGAGGGCAATTTCCTAACTTAAATAAGATAAGATCAAAAGCAATAAACATTAGGTAAATTAAGGAGCCACTTCTCCCACTTAAACTTGAAGGCTTTGAAATACCAACTAGAATCTAAGTGGAGAAAAACTTACACAGAACAGAAGTCACATACCAAAGACAGTGAAAATAAACAACAATTGAACTCTAACGGCAAGCAGGGAGAACCAGCGAATTTGAGGAGATGCTTCTTGAGGAGAAAAACTAAGCATCGAATTCATCATCGTTCCAATTTTGTAACGCCTCCCAGCAATAGCAATCAATTTTGCCCCTCAGTCTGCACTAAATGTTTGTATGAATCCAGTAAAATCCTTTCAACACCATGGAACTGGCCGCCAATTTGGAAACAGATTTGTCGGGAATTCCCCATTCCCTATCGCCGCCGAGACCAAGACATAAGAAAACAAAATTGTCGTACCTAGAAGTGGTTTCAAGCTCAGAACGACTAAATTGCCCAGGAGGCGTAAAAAGAAACTCTGCATAATGAAATCGGAGAGCCAGTTCTTTTCAATAGTTCGTGGGTTTGGAGGTGGTGAAGTGTTTTAGCCTTTTGGGAACATGGAAATAGTTTTAATGGACAAAATTTTAACAAAATGTGGGTACTTAAACCTACATAGGTACAAAACAAGGTATTTTAATAGTAAAACTAATGGTTAAAATTTTATACGTCAGGTGATCTAACCGTTAGATGTACTTAGATGAGCTCCGGCCGATCTCAACGGTCAATTTTTCTTTTTCATTAAATCAAACTTCGGGTTGGGGTTTAGAAAATCGGTGCCTGGGGTTTATCCATTAGAGGTTAGGGTATAGTATCATACCCTATATATATATATATATGGTAATGACTGGTGTACGTCAGGCATATACTATACGTCAGGTGATCTAACCGTTAGATGTACTTAGATGAGCTCCGGCCGATCTCAACGGTCAATTTTTCTTTTTCATTAAATCAAACTTCGGGTTGGGGTTTAGAAAATCGGTGCCTGGGGTTTATCCATTAGAGGTTAGGGTATAGTATCATACCCTATATATATATATATGGTAATGACTGGTGTACGTCAGGCATATACTATACGTCAGGTGATCTAACCGTTAGATGTACTTAGATGAGCTCCGGCCGATCTCAACGGTCAATTTTTCTTTTTCATTAAATCAAACTTCGGGTTGGGGTTTAGAAAATTGGTGCCTGGGGTTTATCCATTAGAGGTTAGGGTATAGTATCATACCCCAAACTCGATTTAATTCATGGTCTAGATAGAGATATCTCACTAGTAGTACCTGGCGTTTAGTATACGCCTGAAGTACGCCAGTCTGAACCATATATATATATATATATATGGTGACTTCTACGGTGCCCAGGGCTAAATCCGGGTACGGGTACCTTGGCCGATCTTAACCATTAGTTTTCAATCTCCACGGCTCACGTTTGTTAAACCTAACTGCGCCACTAAATAACAAAACAAATTACAAAAAGCCTCCTCCGCGTTAAGTTTGTTTTCATCCTAGTCCAATTAACTGCCCCGATTAAATTAAATGGATTAAGACTGCAAACCCAATTGGGTAGACCCACTGCCGCCCTAACCAATTTCCAGTCTCCCTAACCAATTACACGATCCCTCTCTCGTCTTGGAGGGACGCCCCTTCACAGTTCCAAGAGAAGCTCCCCATCCAATTTGAACACCCCAACTTAATCATCTATTTGAATCCCAATTACTTGCATCCACATTCGACGCAGTTTGAATTTCCCAAATTATTATGTCTTGTTTCTTCTTCGCCATTTTATTTCCCTCGCCTATCTCTTTCCAACACGATTACGGCGACCATGTCTATTATTGTGTTCATCAAACTTTTCATTTGCAAAAGAACCCTTGAAAGAGGTTTGCTAACCCTAGGGTTCATGTCACTAGTGCTTTGTCATCTTGTCTTAGCGTGATTGTGATTTTCTCGAACCTTATATCTCTCGGTGAAATTTAGGTTTCCTGATATGTAGTGTTCGTCTCGCCCAGAGGATTGAGGAAGAAGATGAAGAACACATAATTTGATTCGAATCGGATGGAGAGGTCTCCTTAGTTTGTGTTTATGTATTAACGGTGCGTTTAGGAGTAATTCTAGTTGGACTGGGTCTGATCATTGATTTTTGCAGGCTTTTAAATAACATTCAAACGTGGGCTTGTACATGACCCATGCAATATTCAAAAGTGGGCCTGGAACGTGAGAGCCCATTTGTTTTCTCCTGCGGTATCAATTGGTGCGCCAACCCCAGTTTAACTAGCTTTACTTACCCTAGTTTAACCTACACGAATTAACATCATCATTACTACATATCTTCCGAAATCTTCTAACTCTTGACATTCCAGACTCAACCGTCTCCATCACACTCACGTCTCCACACTCAACCCCCACGATCACTTTTTCTTACACCTACAATCTCTCTTTCCTCCATCTTCACCTTCCCTTGTTCCTTCTTCCTTTGACTCCATGGCAAACAAAGGTAAATCGTTTGCGGAAATGGGCATACTATCTCTATCAAACGACGATTGCCGATCCACCCCAAGTCTCGGGGACTATCTTTCATTCACAAGCAAGACATCTATTGTGGCCGAGTACGAGTTCATCCACCTGCGTCCTTTCCCTCAAGAAGTGAAGAAGTTAATTAAAAATCTTGGCTGGGAAAAGTTCTTTGATCTCCGGAGTTGAGGAAGCACCAGTTACTGCCCGCATGCGGTGAGGAAGTTCTACCACAATTTAGAGCTGTCTGGTCCCTGCGATTCTCATCTCGTGTCGATCTTCCTGGGTTATAGAGTCTGCTTCCAGCCTCATCAGTTTGCTGAGATCCTCGATCTCCCCGCCGCAGGACACCCCATTGATAGCAGAAGCGATCTTGGGCGGCTGTACGATTTTGAGTTTTAAGTTGAACTGGCGAAACTGACGAAGGGGCGCATCCAGGCTTCTTTCCTCCCAGATCATCTTCGATTCCTCCATTGGATGATCGTCAACTGCTTCATGCCAAGGTACAGTGGTCATTCGATAATTCGTAAACTTGACCTGTTTATCCTTGTGCAAGCTCAAAGAGGTGTTCCTGTTAACCTCGCATCTCTCATGTGCCTGAACATGGTTGAGGCTGCTCCTAGAGGGGAAAACTGGTACACTGCCTTTCCATATGCCACCTTCTTGACCACCTTTCTTGGAAGGGTTGGGATGGATATGGGGGTTTATGCTAAGGAGGACCAGTGCGCCTATTTTCCAGTCTACCGTATCGCCGAAGTGACCAATACTTTTATTGACCTTCGGCATACGGAGCATGAAGAGACCCCTGAGGCATCCTCAAGCAAACGTCCTCGGCTTACATGAGAGTCGATTGATGCAGAGCGGGGTGGAGCGTTGGAGCAGCAAAGGGGCCAGCATTGGATGTCTTTTGTTAAGAAGTTTACTGTAAGGCTTTGTTGTTTTTTGTTTCCAGTCTTTTTCTCCAGCACTCAAAACTGTCAGGTACTGAGGGGAGCCAGTACATCATCTGACTAGGAAAGTCTCCCATTTTTTTAATTATCCAGACAAATATTTTTCTATGCATGCAGTATTTTGCGAATTTTCCATGGCTAATTTCCCTAAGACAGGTGACGAGATGCAGTAATGGTCATCCCTAAGCAAGGAGGTGCAATTGCATCCTACACTTGCTATGATGTGAGAAGCTATTGCAAGGGTGCAAATTTGGTTGCAATTGAAATTGGCCCACGAGTGGGGACTATTGATGAAATTACAATGTTTTCTCAAAATTAGAGAAGTGGAAGTAGGGACTACCTATGAAATTGCAAATGAATTTCATTGGGGGAGATTTTAATCCGCTTTTGTTCTAAGCAGTTCCAATTAGGTCGAAGTAGGTACTACCTATGAAATTGCAATGTTTTCGAAAATTATGGTTTTATTTAGAAGTGGAAGTAGGGACTACCTATGAAATTGCAATGTTTTTGAAAATTATGGTTTTATTTATATTTGGTCACAAGTATAGTGACGATGATAGGCGTGAATAAGTATGGATATGGCTTGATTATAATGATTTTTTATCTATGGTGATTTTTTCCCCTTTTTTCATCAAGACTCATGCTTCTTTTATCCCCCTGTGGATCTATCATGCTTCGTTTATAGTAAAATATCCTTTAATTATACACAATAAAGAATCCATTAATTAAGTATGCCTTTTTATTGTATTTATTACTACAATGAATTCTCTGACTAAAAGGGGAGTGAAAACATCGTTGGTGGAAATTCAAGGAATGGAAGCCTTTCCATATCCTAGGAACATTAAATTAATTACATAAGAATTTTCTATCTGCCTTGTACTGGGTTTGGTCATTAATTATACTGATTGGGAGCC